TTGAATGCAGAAACAAACTCACACACAGAAAATCTGATCAATATTTACACCAGAGTTGGAACGGCCACATCGGATGAAAGGGGGCAGAGTTAATAAAAAAAATGAAAGGCCTCCCAGCAGGGTGCTGGCTTTCACTGCTTCCCTGAATTGTCACCTCTTTGTCGCTCCATGCAAGGCAGTCAAAGACTCGTACATGTACACATGTGTATCGTACAGACGCTGTATCATAACTTCCTAACAGAGCAGAAATCTATAAAAGGAAATCGCTATGATGAACTTTGCCTGGAGATACCAGTAAGTACAGTTTACCTTATAATATGAGTAGTTTCCTCAGGCATGTAAAAGTCCTCTGCATGTACAGTACAAACATGGAACAGATTAGAAGCGGTTCATTGAGGTTTTGATGCTTCATACTTTTTAAATCAATTGTACCAAGTAAATCAATTTTCATGAGTCATTACTCCCATCTCACAATTTTTTCAACCTGAAATCTTGACTCACATATACTGTACAAACATGTCCTTTCGCTTCCGCAAATGTGCTTACGTGTGATCTTGGTTCCGACATGTCCTCAACACTGTGGTGCTTCAGCACATGGTCACTGAACAACTATACAATGATTCATGAAAGTCGGCACCCTGTGTGCACGTATTCGCGTTGGGCTCCCCCAAAAGTCTCTAGCTTCTGGTTGGGAGCTGGCTCCAAAAGTGGTACGGTGATAGGGCTTGCTTTTTTTCTTTCCCTTACTTTTTTTTTCTAGAAATGAAGTACGTATAACACGCAATGCCCATCGGGACTACGTGCGCACGTAACGCAGCCACTACCAACACTGAAACAGACTGGTCCAAGCTCGCTTTACTGCATTTTCAGCTTGCACATTGTACATGTACATAGGACATAGGACCACCTCATCTGTCTGCTTCCCAGATGTGAATGTACATGTATAATACAGAAATGACATCATCTAAAAAAGAGTGCCCGACTAAATGTATGAGGTCTCCTTTATTGTACGTATTACACAACCGTACCCCATCAAAAATATGTTAAAACTATGTGGTAGCTGAATTCCAGTCAATTAAGCAAGTTTGGAAGCTTTTGGACATCATTTTATACCAAATAAAACACTTCTTTATTTTGCCACCGCTCAGGTCTACAGCGACGAGTGTGCTGACCAGAAACTGGAGACTTTTGTTTTGGCCTTAGGGTCACAAAAGATAGCCCTATCTGTACAGAATGGCCCTTCCATGAATCGCTGTACAGTCCACTAACCGTGAACGCCAAATAATCGCACCTCTAAGGGCATCTTGGAATGGAGACTACATGTAGCTTAGCGACTGCTTAGCTGACGGGCATGGGACATATGCACCTACTGAATGACATTCACAAGGCTTTCAAGCACAGCTGTGTTTAATATAATGTATGGTCGGGAGGTTAAATGTCATGTTGTAAACGAATACATCATATATTTCACATTTAACATAGAATGGTGTGATGTGGGGGTGGAGGCACATGGCATTCAGACGAAGCGGGTGTCACGCATTCCCGAGGGGGGAAAAAAACATGTTACGGGGGAACAATCATTCCACTGCAACCTGTTAGAATGAAAAAAAAAAATATTGAAAAGATATCGTACATGCTCTCATACAAATGTATTTAATTACGGCATTCAACTTACTTTGTCACAAACATGAACGCCAGACTGTGGATAAACTCATGAATAAATAGGGCTCCCAATGTGAAGTTGCACGACATGAACCACATGACAAAGAAGTTTGCATGACGCCTGTGAAATCGGAGGGACCTTTTACAAACATGACAACTTACTGGTATGACAGCTTTATTAAAACAAATGGAAAGTGCGCCTGTGTCAAGTGTCAACTGGTGCACACATGTTCTGGGAAAGAACCAGTATGATACGGTTGATACACGAATGATACGGTTGTGCATGAATGTACTTTTCTGCGGGCATACACTGTACTTTCTTGTTTGCATCTTCTTACATGGCGATAAGTCCGTAGACAAAACTGTGAACTACGAGTCCATGTACATGAGTACTATTGACCCAAAAGGTCATGATTTCAGTGAAAGTACAACTGTACTTTACAAACTCTCCCCAACAATATAAATCTAAAAGGGAAAGACAGATGGAACATTTTTCAGGATGTTGTAGCCAGCCTTTGTTGAGTATTCCCGACAGACCAGCCACAGGTCTAGACTGATTTCCATAAAGGGATGGGCTCAAAGTTTTGTAAGTGCAA